AAGAGCACTTTCTAGGTCTTTTCAAGAAATGTTAGGATCTTTCCTTTAAGTCAAGTAAATGCAACCCCAGGACCCTGTCTGGGAGCTGGGGATTACCAGTTGCTACTGGAGCCTCTCTTGACCTCTGCAGGGGTGCAGGAGAGCTGGGGGTGTGCCCTGTCTGGAAAGTGAGCTGGCTTCTGTTTGTGGTTCCACTTAACCAGCACTGACATCCCTGAGGACTGCTGGCTCCGTGGGCCCATGCCAGGCGTGGGCACAGGAATCTATGCCGGCACCCCAGGCCTGGACTCCAGCGAGATCACATGGCTCAGGCTTGTGGGCTCCTGTCCAGGAGAGCTTCAGAGACCCCAAAGGATCAGGCCACCTCTGCCTGCTCTTCCTGGTGTCCCAACCCCATCCACACCTGCCTGGTGTAAAGCAGGTGCTCAGTGAATGTGCTCATTCAACCATTGTTTATTGAAGTGCCAGGCACTGTCTTTGGCACAGTGTGGGTATCCAGGGACAAAACAGACAAAAGTCGATACTCAGATGGTGACACTGAGTGGGTCAGATAAGGAAGAATGTCATGGAGAAGAGTAAAGAGGGCAAGGGGCAAGGAGGGGCCAAAGCCTGCTGTGGGAAGTGAGAGAAGAACACCAAGGAGGTGGCATGGGATCAGTTTTGAGGGTGAGGGAACAGGCCTGTGTGTATGCTGAGTGAAAGGTTTTAGGCCAAGTGAACACAAGTGYAAAGGTCCTGGGGTGGGAGCCCGCCCCCTGGTGTGAAGAGCTGTAAACCCATCAGCATGGCTGGAGCAGAGGGCGTGAGGGGAGAGTGGAGATGAAGTGGGGGACACAGAGCTTCTTGGCCATGTGAACACTGGCTTCTGCCCTGAGTGACATGGGCAGGGGAGGGCCATCAGAGCCAGCCTCCATTTGCAAGAAGTATAATGTCTAAAAGAAAGAGTGAATTTTCCACCCTCTCCATCGTCCCCACTGGGTGGCAGTCAAGACGCACTTCAAGGAAGAGCAGGGTGGTGACACGTTGCTTCCCCCTGGCTTCCCGGGAGCTGCAGGTGGCTTTGGGTCTGAAGTGTCCATCATGTGTCCAGCCTCCTCTGCATGAGCAGCTGGCCTCCTAGCTGTGGTAGATCTGTCCAGAGGACAAACGTCCTGTCCCCCTGACCAGCATCTTGCAAAACCTCCTGCTGCCAGGCGCACAGTGCGTTCTGCCCACCTCCTGTGGAGGCTCCGTCATGGGGTCCCCAGAAGCTCAAGAGTCAAGGTCTCTTGCTTTCTAATCTCGCTCTGGGCTGGGCGCTGTCTCAAGCACTTGACATGTAATGAGTGAGTGTCCCCCACCCCCAGTGCTGGGTACTAGGTATTGTCCCTGAGGGAATGAGGCAGCATGCTGTAAAGCCCTTGGCCAAGGTCACAGAGCACACTGGCCCCAGCAAGGTATTAAGGTCTCCTGTGTGTGCGAAGACACTGCCGCGTCCCCGAGTTTCTGGATGCCACGTGCAGAATCCTCCCAGGGTGGGGAATTGCCAGCACCCTACCCCACTGCTCAGCATTCAGGGGGCGCCTGCTGCATGCACTAGTCCCCAGCTCCTTTCTGACACCCAGAGTCCTCACCATCCCCTTGCTGCTGAGGTCTCTGACACACCCCTGTCTAGCAGTCCCTCCTGCCTGTCCGGATCCCACAGGGCCCAGCCCGGTACTCTCCTGGCCAGCTGTGTGCTGAAGCCTCCGGCCATCACCCTGAGCCCCGCCCCCTGCACTGGCCAGCCCTGGGGGTGCAGCAGGTGCTCAGGGTGCAGCTGGGACTGTGCTCCTTCCTGTGGCTGCTGTAGGACACCCCCCCACACACACTAAAACCAGAGACCTGTCCTCTCTGGAGTTCTGGGGCCACCAGCTCGAGACCAGCTGCTCTGATTGGAGAACTCAAGGAGTGGTGGGCGGGGCTCTCCAGGGTCAGAGAGGCGCCTCCCTCCTGGCCCATCCTCAGGTGGCCCAGCTGTCCTTGAAGCACAGTGTGCCTGAAGCACTGCAGTCTCTGCCTCTGAGGCCACATGGCCTCCCCTCCCCCTGGGTGTGAAGCCCCTCTGCCTTTTCCTGCTACTGAGGCTTCTCAGGGCACTCAGGTTCCCAGGAGGCCCAGCTGCTCTCCTCCCTCATCATCCTCACTGCCCTGGGGGAGCCCCGCCCCTTCCAGGCCAGGAGGGAGGAGCCGACTCCAGGAATGAGCCTGGGATTATCTGGAGGGTCTTCTCCACCCTCCATAATGACCAAGACACCKCCACTTCTCTCCTGTGAGCCCTTAGGCCCCGCCAACCTCCACAGACCCACAGCGTGTGTCCACTGTCCTGCGTCCTAGTGTACTGGCCACACTGGCCTTCTCTCAGCCTGTCACACAGGGTACCAGCTTCAGCCTGGGGGAAGAGTTTGTAAATATTAGAAAGCAGCATCCTCTCTGGGCAGACACAGCCTTGTGCCCTGTGCCCTGAGCTCACAGCTTGGCCTGTGGGCGAGGCTGGATCCAAGTGCCCGACTCCCGCATGGACGGCAGTGCACCCGCTGCCTCACCACACCACAGACCCACCACAGGGCCTCTGCACATGCTGCTGCCCCTTCTGCACATGGAAATCCTTGGTCATCCTTCCAATCTCCCCTCACCATGAAACCTATGGTAGCCTAAATCTAGACTGATGCCTAGAGAAGTTGGCACTTGCACTTCCTGCCATTGATCCCCATCTGCAATGAATCCTGGCAGGTGTGCTATTGACTACCATCTGCCTCCCGTGATCCAGATGCTCAGCAAGATTGCCTGCCACGCCGACTTGGCCAACAGCATGTGCCCGCTGCATGCAGTAAGCACCCAATGTGCACTGAATGATGCGTGCACTCATGGAACCAACCCTGCCACCAAGGGGTGCCACTCTGGAACCAGCCACAGCAGTGTGGAGGCTTGGGACCCATGAAAATGGATGAGACCCCTAGAGGGCCACCCCTTCTACCCTCACCGTGTCCTGGAGGGTAGGGGTCCCGGATGCCACCTGCTCCTGGAAGGCAGAGCCAGAGGCCCGTTCACCCAGGGAGCTGCAGTCCTGTGGAGGATGGCACCCAGCCAGCCTGGGAATTGCTTCAAATTAATTTGCATAATTGGGCTGCATGTTGGTGTATTAATCAGGCTTTATGGCATCGGGCACTGAGCACAGGCACCGAGCAGCAGAGCTGTTCCCTCTGCCTGTTGAGGCCATCCACGCTGGCCCTCCGAGGACCCAGGCCATGGGCTGCGGGTGGGACGACTGTCTGCTCCTGTCCTCTGCAGTATGGGGGTGAAGGCAGAAAGACCRTGCCCCGTGTGGTGACCCCTGCCCGTCCCTCCCTTAGCCCAGGTGGCCAGTGCTCTCGGGTGACGAGGACCTGGTCTGACCCTGGGAGCAGGCCGGCCTGCAGCACCCTGTGCACTGCACTCCGCACTCCACTCTTCCTCACAGGTGTGCCCTTGGCCATGTGGCTTCCTTCCCTGAGCCTCAGTTTCCCCTTCTGAGGGTGGAGATAGGACCCCGTGAAGCTCTGTAGACCCCGCTGCATGCAGCCCTCCGCTTTCCAGGGCCAGGACCCAGGACCATCAGTGGCCCCCTGTGGGGCAGGCCCCAGCCTCATGACGTCCTTCCAGCTGGTCCCTCCCTGTGTAGGGACTGTCCCCGTGTTTTACAGACTTGAAACCTGGAAAGCCAGCAGTCAGGTAATGGCGAAGCAAGGTCAGGGCTGGGACCTGAGCCAGGTGTGGCTTCTGCACCCTGGGGGCTCAGAGCTTCCCTGTCACTGGGTCACTTCCTGCTCCTCTGAGAGGCTCTGTGGGCAACAGCTGTGTTGGTTTTGTCCTCCATCCTGCTCTTGGCCCAGCACCGCGCACACCGCTGTGCACACCAATGGCGTTTAGCGAGTGCCATGTGCAGACACAGAGGGTGGGCCAGACCGTCAGGGGACAAGRGTGGCTTCTTAGAATCAGAGTCTCTGGAGGGAGGAGAGGTGGTGGGTTGGGTGGCAAAGCGTCTGTTCCTCTCCTGAGCTCTTCCTAACCTTCCAGGTGAGCAGACCACCCCTATAGAGACCCTCAGAGACAGCCACAGGGCATGAAGGGGGGTTGTCCCTGGACAAGGCTATTTGGAGGCAGGTATCTGGATGAGTGCTTCCTCATCCTTAGGAGGAGATCGCCCACCCTCTGTCCCTCCTCCAAGGCAGGCACAATACCCAGCAGGTGGTGAAGGCTTTGAGCAGCATATCTTAATTTCCTTCATTCCTTCCTGTTTGGTGCTGGGACTTGAACCCAGGCCCTGTGCACGCTAAGCCCATACCCAACTGCTGGGCTCTCCTGTGGGTATGGACGAATTGGACACATTGTAAACATCAGGCCAAGGAGAGGAAACAGAGGGGGTGTCTTGAAAGATTGTGGGGAGTGCTGGGAACAGAAATGAACCCCAGGCTCCATCACCTTTTTCAGGTTATGGCCACATCTACCCTGTCACCAAGCCTGGCAAGTACCTGTGCATGCTCTATGCCCTCTTTGGGATCCCCCTGATGTTCCTGGTTCTCACGGACATAGGGGACATCCTGGCGACAGTCCTGTCCAAGTCCTACAGTCAGTTCCGAAAACTCCCTTTCTTCCCTCGCGCCCCCTCTGAGTGGTGCTCTGGACTGTGCTGCAGGAGGAAGCCCATCGCCAAGCCAGGGGTGGCCTCTGTCCCTCGGATCGTCATCAGCGCTGAAGATCCCCGCGGCCCCAAGTCCAGCAAGTGCCCCTCAGACCCAGGCAGCCATGCAGAGCTGTTGAAGAGTCTGTTCTTCCCACAAGAGAAAGAGAACCTGCTGGCCCTGGCCCCGCGGACCATGGAGAGGAGCAACTCGTGTCCAGAGCTGGCGCTGGGGAGGCTGTCCGCCTCCATCCTCAGCAACCTGGACGAGGTGGGGTGCCAGGTGGAGAGGCTGGACGTCCCCCTCCCTGTCATCGCCCTGGTGGTCCTGGCCTACATCTCCTGTGCTGCCGCCATCCTCCCCATGTGGGAGACCAACCTGAACTTCGAGAGCGCCTTCTACTTCTGCTTCATCACACTGACCACCATCGGCTTCGGGGACACCAAGTTGGACCACCCGACCTTCTTCCTGTTCTTCTCCCTCTACATCATCATCGGGATGGAGATCCTGTGCATCGCCTTCAAGCTGATGCAAAACAGGCTCCTGCACGTGTACAGGGACGGCCTGCTGTGCCTGGCCACAGGGAGGTGCTGCCACCTGCCTAGGAAGTGAGGGCTCTGTCCACTCCTCAGAGACACACGGGAGAGCTGGCTTCTCTCCTCGTTTTGGGGTAGTGTGGTTTGAGCAGTGACACTAAAGCCTGTCATCGAGACCTTGGGGCTTGGGGACAAGCCTTGCATGAAGGCTGAATTTGGCCTTCAAAATCCACTACAAGCCCTTCATTTCCTCACCCCAAGTGCAGGTAATCTCTTGTGCACATTTTTAGAAAACTCCGCCACATGCCCAGGAAGTATCCAGTGCTCTCACTGGTTCCCTGTGACCCAAGATTATCTACCTTTGCATTAGAATTGTACTTTCAGCCATGTAGACCTTCCTGAGCTGCTCCTGACCGTCACTGGGAGGGCACAGGGGTCCTGAGCAACCCCTTCTCTCCAATCACTGCATGAGTGCATGTAGGAGCAGTCCTGTCCCGCCCCTGATGCCACTTGGTGACAAGGTCACTTGTGTGCACGGGGGCTGGGATATGTCCTGATTGCTGGATTCTATGTGGACCACTTCTCTAATTGCATGTGATGGTGTCCCCCGAGTGGGCCGTATGTGTAGCCTGGTGCCCTCGTGGGTGGGTGGACACACTGGCCCAGTTCCTGTCGGGGGAGGGACACATGAATTCACTGCCCTGTGCCTGGATGCTATACGTGCCCTGTCCTTACATCCTGTTGGGAGAGCTCCCTTTGCCTCCCATTGTGCTCCATCTCTGGTCCCTAAAGTGTGGGTACATGTCAGGCCACCTGCAAGTGACAAGGACCAAATGCTTCCATGAGCATCACTAATGACCAAAGGGAGCTGGTGGCTATGCAGTGCCCTGCTCCACTGCCCCAGCCTGAGGTCACTCTGGGTGCTGTATGCTGTCCCCTTCTCTCAGGGGACATGAGCCTCAGGTGCTCCTTGACACACTGTCCCCTGGCCTCCTTCGTCTCCTGGTTTGGCTTCTTCCTCTACTGGGACTTCCGGAGATCTCCTCCCTAAGAAATGACTCGCAAAATAATCTTTATGTCAGAGTGAGTCCTGGGGACATCTGGGCAGCAGGACTGCTGGTGGTGGCACCTGCGGGCTCCTGACGTTGATGTTTCCCTCCTTGGTTACTAGAAACATCTCCTGACTTCATCTTCAGCTGAGAGTCTTCAGACTCCTCCTGGGTCCTGTGAGCACAGTCAGTGAGCCCCTGGGGAATGGTGGAGGCAGCTGCTGGGCAGGGCCCAGGGGAGACCCTGGGAGAATCCTTGGAAAGCAAAGGAAGGCACCGTCTTCCCGGTCTCTGCTCAGTCTCAGGTTCTGCCCAGTGTTGAGCACCAGCTCTCAGAGGGCTCTTCCATTCTGATCTTCCCCTTCTTCCCCACAACCATCAGACGTTCTGTCCCTCCAGCCCCTGAGGGACTAGCTCAGGTCATGGAACTGAACAAAAATCCATCAAAGGCTCAGAGCACCCCCAGTGGGATTTGGGGAGCAGTCCCAGGTGCTGGGCTTTTGAGGTTTCTCGGCATCCTCCAAGCACATTAGCCCAGCTGAGATGCAGCAAAGCCCCGGATCCCTGAGGCCATCAAGACTGGCCACCCAAGGGAGAGCACTTGGTGGGACCCAGGGGCTATTGGACCCATGGGCTGCTGCCCATTGTCCAGGCTCAGGGCATCCAAAGACGAGCCAGGGGCATCCTCAGAACCCTGGAAGTCACTTCCTGATAGGCTGGGGGAGCCCTCAGCCAGTTCCTGAGGCATGGCAAGTCCTGTTCCTATGCAAACATGGACCTGAGGCTGCACGCTATGCAAATCAAAGTCCTGCCCATTTGCTTGTTTCATTTGCTAGTCAGACTTCTTCCCTGGCTCTGAGGAAGTGGCCCAGGGTGACATCCTGCTCATTCCTGGCCCTGCCTCCTATGCCTGCCTCTTGGGCTGTTCCTGTGCAGGAAGGTGAATTCCTTCCTCCATGGAGCCCTGGACTCACACTGACACCTGGGGATCAAGTGCCTCAGGTGCCTGACCCCTTCCTCATCTTAGCCCAGCTGCTGTAACCAGGTGCTGTGACCTCAGGGTGCATTGCCACAGTTTACTTCTGGTTCTGGAGACTGGATGTGTGAGGACAGAGCCAGCAGGGCCAGGTCTTGTGAGGTCCTCTTCCTAGTATATGCACACACAGGGGGATCTCAGGTCACTTTCCTTCCTCTTGCTTGGTTAACATTTGCAAAACAGATGCAATTAAAAATGAGCTCCCAGAATTGACAAAGTCTCAACAATATGAAAACAAATAACCATAGTCCATCAGGATACAGACACAGCATCCGAACACATGTATCACCAAAGAAGGTGTCCTGATGGCAAAGCTCACCTCCTGTTCTCCTGAGTGCACTAGTCCCATCCTGAAGGCTCCACCCTGCTGACCTCTGTCCACCCATTGCCTCCCAGAAGCCCCACCTCCCTGGCACTTAGTTTCCACCTAGGACACCTGGGGCACACAAGCACTCAGTCCATAGCAACTCCCAAGACTCAGATGCCAGTAGTCTGGGGTGTATCTAGACTTGGGATTTTCAAAGGTCCCCAGGTGGTCCCAATGTGTGGCCAGCACTAAGCAGCAGGGCAGTAGCTACTTTCTCAGCCTGAAATGTCCGTCTCCCCACTGGGGTGGAGGAAGACTTGCCTCAAGGCTCCCTCCACCTGTGATCCCTCCAGCTAGTGACCTGGATTCCTGGAGTGGTCACTCTTGTCCCCCCATCCTCCCACTGCATCCCTGTTACAGGACTAGAATGGGGTGCTTGCCTTTTGTGTCCTCTCCAAACTCTGAGCTGTCCAAATAAAACGACCACGTTTCTCTCTTCATTGTTCTCTCTCCTTTTATTCCTCCCACCCCCACTTTGCTGGGTCAGCTGGGGATGGGATTCTGCATGGTCATTAGGGTCACACAAATGCCAAGACAGCAGCCTCCATTTTCTGCACACCTGCCCTGTGCCTCATCCTGCTCTCAACCCTTTGGCAGCATCCAGCCCATGTTCTTGGCAGCACTGGGTTAGGTCCAATGGTCTCCATTCTACAGATGAGGAAAGTGAGGCCAAGCAGCCAGCATTCACTCC